AAAACGCTTGTTTTTTAGAAAAATAGATTTCGTGATTATCATGCTAGCCGATTTCGAACTCACGCTCAGTTGCCATGAAATATAATGTAATAAAAAATTTTGGATTTTATAAAATTATAAAGTAAATTGCCTATTCCGTTGTATCATATTTTAATTTAATTTTGAGGAAATTAATAAATTAAAATTTAAAATCTATATAGGTACGTTGTTTTTTTTTTCGTTTGTATCATTCAAACAAAAAGTTTTAATTATATTTATTTCAAATCTTACTCGTTTCTAAATTTAAATCATAGAATTTAAAATTTATTTCTTTTATCTTTTCCATTCCAAACAAAAATTTTATGTGATTTATTAACAGCCACGTAAAAATTCTGTGATGCAGCCAAAGGACTTCTTTTTTTTAATAATGTAAAAAAAAAACAAAAAACAAAAATAAATGAGTTTGAAGCTATTTGCAGATGTAGGGTAGGATTTAGAGAATTCACCAATCTCGTGTCTATCGAACAGTGAGTTTCGTCTGATGTGGCTTTAACGGCACACAGTTGGAGTCACATGTGTTGTAAGAAACCATGTGCATTGCACACGATTTCACCAAACTCGTGTACAATGTACACAATTTCAACTCAGTCGTCGTCGCATTATCATTTGTTGTCATCACTGCCTCCACCAGCTGTCGTCGAAGGTGATCTCATTCCTCCCTTTTTTTGTTTTAGTTAGATTTTATTACAATTCTTACCTTTGTAGTTCATTCAGTCATCGCATCAAGTTCAATTCATCCACCGAATTCATTACCACAGTCATCACCTATTGAGGTAACACAATAAGATATGAATGATATAATTCATCGTCCATCATCATATATTGTTATGCCTCAACCTCGTCGTGGAGCTCAGAGAAGATGGTCATTACATGAGTTTTTATTGATATTCTATAATATTTCAGTTTATTTACATTTAAATCAACTTGTGAACTGAACTTTTATTAATGGATTTGAAATTAGTTTATTGTTTAAGTTAATTTTTGTTATAATGTACTACGTGAATTTAGTATATTGAACTTTTATTAATCAACTTGTATATATTAATTTAGTTCACAATTTGGCCAGCAACAAAAGAATAAGAAAAAATTTCAAAAATTTTTGCACAAAAAAGAAAAGAAATCAAGACAAATCGCACTTGGTATTTAATTTAGAAGGAAAAATATGTGTGTACATATATATATATTCTTCTAGAAACTCGTGTACACGATTTATTAATTCAATTGACCCTCCTCCCACTACATCGGACACGTGTAACTCGTAGTTGTTCACGAGTTTTGACATTGACCATAACCACCCCTATTTTATCAATAGTTTTAGAATGTACCCTATTTTGAATTTATATTATTTTATTTACATTTTTTAAAATTTTAGTTTGTAATCTACCTTAAATTTGTAATTTATTTTTTAAATTATATTATTTATGAAATTAGCCCACAACCAAACCACATCTTCAAATATTTCATTGCTATTAATTCTTACCTTTTTTTTGTTAAATACTATTAATTCTTACCTATAAATTATGGGCAGTTTGTTTTTTGAAAATGCAGATGTCCGCATCTTTAGATGCCTGGAATTTTAGATACCCGGAATTTTAGATGTCCAACATCATATTTGTTTTGTAGGAAAATATATAAAGATGTCTGAGAATATCTGGATAACCACGTTTGTTTTGCAAGATTTATTCATCGAAATATTCTAAACTTATATAATGTTCCAAAAACGCCCTTACAAATATTCATATACTTTATACATTAATATAATATAATTACATTTATATAATTCATTTTCTTAAAATTAATTTAATATTTTAGATTTTTTATATTAATTTCGTATATGTATTAATTTTTGTATTTTATTAGGTAGAATTCATAATAATATAAGACTTTTTTAAAAGTAATTAATATTGAATATAAATTTCATTTTCAACTTTAATATTTTTAAAAAAATACAATTATATAATTAATGTTATATAAGGTAAAATTTATTTATTATGTTATCAAATTTTATTCTTTTAAAAAGAAAAATATCCAAAGTAAGTTGATCATTAAAAAAATGTTGTTGTATTTAAGATAATAGATATTATTCATAATAATTCATTCCAAATATTAAAAGTAAATAGAGATATTATATAATTTAATTGAAGTTTATTTTACATGCACATGTAATACATAAATATACTTAATTGCTTATTAGTCAATGAGTTATATTAATTTATTTAAACTATAAAATTACAAATAAAACCAAAGAAATTTGATCGAGAAAATATATGAAAAAGTAACAAAGGGATAAAAATATCAACAAATGATGTCTTCGACGTGGAATCATGGAAACCCATGTTACAGAAAAACATTAAATATTTTCATAAATTATTTTAAATCAATAAATAATTAAACAAAAATAAAGGACCACTGCTCTTATTCTAAAAATATATACTTACATATTCTATAATTTTGTCTTTGTGCGCTGAATTTTATTCATGTAATCCTTATACTTCTAAAACATTTATTTTGATCCGTACAATTTTAGTTTTTGTTCTTTCTTTTTTTCATTTTATCCCTACACTTTCAAAATACTTCTAAAACATTTATTTTGATCCCTATACTTTTAGTTTTAAAACGTTTACTTTGATTCCTACTTTTAGTTTTTGTACCTTCTACAAAATTTAGTCAATTAAATGTTATGTTAAATAGATAAAAATAAAATTGAAGAGACCAAAATAATAATTTTTTAATTTAAAATTACTAATATTATAACAAACAATATTAAAACAAAGAAAGTTGAAAGTACAACGAGAACTAAAATATTCTTTGTTCATAATATAGTGAAATTAAACAATCTCTCGTCAAAGAACTGAAACCCATTTTAACTGGACCATCGACTATAAAGTGGAAATTAAAATTTCTGAGTGTCAGAAAATGGAAAAAGAAAAATGGCAACCCCAATAATGAAAAATTCATTAGAACAAAGATCTGAGACGATAAAGAGCATCAAAAGAAATAGAGAATGAAGATTTTTCATTCGTATTATTATTAAAATCAATGACAACTGACAAGCAAAGCAAATACAGAAGAAGCTCGAAAACAACGTACAAGCCTCTCTATAACAGTGTCATCCCCACCAGACGCCACACAACAATGGCATCTCATTCATGTATAATGCCTGTACTCTTTATCACTTAAACCCAATACAGAAACCAATTTGCAACTTTCAGACACCATCTCCTGACCGGCCTCGTACCACCGCTTGACCGGAGCAGGGGGGTGCTTTGAACCCGTGGCAAGGCACATCTCCAGGGGCTGCTGCGTTCTCTGGGTGCCTTGATTCTTTGTGATAGCTTCCAGCACTACTACCTGTGTTTGCTGTAGCTACTGCGCTCGCTCTCCCGCACTCTTGTTGAACCTCTAGGGTGCCTTGATTCCTCCTGATCCCAGTCTGCTGGTGGAGGTGGCGATGGCTCATACCGAGATGGTTTTCTCTTGAAATGCCGGTCGTCGTCACTCGACTCGCAGTCAACAGATGCAGCACTACTCCTCCCGCGACTGCTTGTGACCGACGTTGCAACTGTCTTCGCCTTGTAGTCATCGTAGTATCCATTGGATGATGCCTTGTGGTGCACTGCTGATGCACCAGAGTCACTTGGTGGTGCTTCCTTTGACGAGTGCAATTTCCGTTTCTTTGTCTCCCCCTCTGGGAAGCTGATACGAGAGAACACGCTCATCTTTTGCTTGCGGTCTGCAGCTGCGCTGATTGAATTTGTGGCTGCGGATTTAGCCGACACTTCAGAGGCTGCTCGGGACTCTGAATGTTGACGATGATGGCGATGGTGGCCATGATCATAGTGATCGTTATTGTTGTCCTTGTCAATATCATGATCATGGTGCTCCGACTTCCTTTTACGTGGCGGCGGGCAAGGTGGTCCAGCATTCCTAGCAATGTCTGGGGAGCTCTCAGATCGGCGACGGTTCTGGTTGTGTTCAGCAGCTGAAGTTTGGGGTGCAAATTTCTGCACGTAATAAGGAGAGAGGGTCAGACAATCGATCTGAGAGGGTTCAAATTTGTGTATTTCTCTTATCCATAAAGAAAACAGAACGGTATAAATTGATTCACTATAATATCTGCTTACAATCTCAGATTCTAAGAAAATTTTTTGTAACTACAGCCCTTTTTTTTATTATGCAAAATTGGAAATCAGTGATTGTATAGTCTCTTGGAGAGGGTAATTCTCTGCCCTCTGCCTTTAGGTTGTATTGGCCTCTTTTTTGGGTCTTGTTTCTAATACAATGTCCTTGTTTCTAAAAATAAAAAATAAATAAAAAAAAAAAAATCATGCTCACTTAGGGTAGAGAAAAACTCTAATTACATCCGCCATCATAGAACCTCGTTTATATAGTCAACGAAAGCATAACTCGACTGGTTAGTCCTCTATCAAAAGGTTGGAGAGCGAGGTTGAAAAAGAATTTAATTTTTTATATATGTTTCTCTTCTTGGAACAGATAAAACAAACATGTCAAAAAAAGTTCATTGATTTTTCATCCACGCCCCACATGATAAGGTGAATCAATGTAGCAAATTTTTCTTGCTTTGTTTCTCTTAGGTAAAAATGAAGATTTTCAAGGAGCAAACTAGTCTTTTCTGACCAAATTGTGACACTACCAAAGGAATTCAAACAGAATTAGAAGTTCGATAGAGAGATGAAAATGACATACAGATTTTAATTTCATTGGAGGGACATCACCACTGCTGCTCACTTCCCTTCCAAACTCCCGATCTTTTGAGTTTGGAGGCTCCCGCTCCCTGCTGCTGCAAGATCGTTCAGAACAAAAAATAATAAATTTAGTCATTAAAGAGAGAGGGTAAATAAAAGACCTGATGCGTCACAATATTCACAATGTCAACTCTACCAGTATGTGGGAAAATGCTAATATGGACCAGAATGGTAAAGTTCACATTTCTTGCTTCTCGAAACCGGTTTCCAATCTTATTAAGGAACCAAGTATTTGGCAACTATTTATACATTTTGTTTCACACTTTTCTTAAGAGAGTGAAATTCTTTTTTCTAACAAGAAACAAACTTGTTTCTTTTCATTGATATGAAAAAGAACATAAAATGTTCAAAGATACAAACTCCCAAGGCAGTGAAAAAAGATAAGAACCAATCAACATCCTTTACGTATCTATATAGGAAAGATGAAAGCTCCCCAATTAATATAAGGCACATTAGGAGAATAGTAAGCAAAAATCCAAGAAAATTGTATAGAAATTTTGAAAACAACACAAACAAGTTTCTTAATCCTGTGTCTAAGGTGTTGCAAAACATAAATAAAAATATATGTTTTTTCATACTTGAATCCATGGGTGTTGAACCCATGCAATTATGAGAAAATTGAAACAAGAAATGGGAACGGTACCGAACGGGCCTCATGGGACCCAAAAGACTGAAGTCTCCAGTCTTGCCCACCCCCATTAAATGGAAAAAGGAAAAAATACTCAAACCGAAGCATATCCTGCTATAGGATTTGACTATTTCAATCAAAGACTGTTTTCCTACTTTCTTTTTTTCTTTTTTCCTCTTTTTATAACCATGAGGTTCAAGCCAGCTTGAGACAACCGCCTAAACCTACTGCATTTCGTTGCCAAGATTTTCGTAGGGTTAAATCCTATGTAGATGTAGGTATCCACTATGACTTGAACTCATCCCTTTAAGTAAGACTTAATTACATTGGCTCATATTGACCACTAGACCACTGTGGGTGTGGTTGCAACCAAAGACTTTTATGCATATCTACCCTCCTCATATGCAAGGGTATTAGAGATTTTCTTTTTCCCAACTTTATTTGGCCTTTTAGGTCACAATGTCTACCCAAAAATTTCTCATCCCACCATTGTGTAAATCGTTCATATCAATATTTTCTCAATTGTTTCTTATTTTAAAAAACATAAAAAGTTTACATTCTAGAGTGTTGATAAGTGTGACTAAACACTTGCACCCAAGAGATTAAAAACAAAAATCAAAGAAATATAGCCAATATATTACATCATTCGTTTTTTATAACATTCGTTTAACAACGGAACATAACAGCTCAGCAATTAAACTTAATTAACATATTTTAAACCAACAGGAAGCTAAAAATTTTAATATTTAAAAAGAACAGGAGGCATATTAAAGCTTCATATTACCTTTCAACCCGTCGCTCGCTTTCCTGCTTCCTCCTCATGTTAGCTTTCCGGGCCTCAAATTCCTCACGGCTCATTGCAGGAGGTGCAATATTCATACCCATGCTAAAGTCCGCAAGATCCCTAAAGATGTCCCAAAATTTAAATCTCTTCAGCAATGAGATAAGATGATGAAAAATCTCAACAGTAGTTGTCAATAACGCAGCACAAATATGAAGGACAGAATAGGTAATAAGAAATTGTGCAATAAGTCGAATTCCCACACAAAATAGATCTCATTTCCAATGAGTATTGGAATTACACATGCAGCTAAGCACAACAAATGTAAACTAGATACGATACACAAAATAGTGAGGGAACTAAGGCATAGGAGGGTAGAGTAGTTACAATAGATTTGGTCAAACGAAGAATAGAACTCAGTTAAGATCTTGTTCGGAAATGCTTTTGAGCGTGGTGTTAGAAACACTCTTACACCTGACACTTCAAATGAGAGGGGAGAGAACTCTTCAAAACACTATAGATGACCTACGTTAATTTCATGTGTAGCAACCCATAATAAATTTGAAAAGTGTTTTTAATCAGTCAAAATCACCTTTATGATATTTATTAAAAAAATCCCATAATACACCCGATCCCTGCTCTTATTTTCAAAATTTCTAATCATTCCTTTCCAACCACAAATACCACACAAGAATTCTGCCATTCCTTCAAAATCTCATTAAATATTTGCACATCATATATAAAATATGAAGACATTACCTCTGAGGTGGAGCAACAGGAAACATGTAACTTTGCATACCAAATGGATCCTGAGGCATGACAGGTCCAAATGGCATTTCTAAGGGACCTAGCCCATAACCACCCATATAGGGCAGGGGAGCAGCATATGAAGACATATATCCATCAAAACCAGGTTGCATGCCAGTCCAATATGGATTATATGGCGTTGGGCCACCTATGGGCATCATATAATTCTCCGTTGCAAGATCTTGAGAAGTTTTCCATTGAAAGTCTGAAGAACATCCAAAAACCATAATATCCCAGACATTAGAGCAAATTCAAGCAAGTTCACATCTTAAGAAAAACTTTAAATGCGATAACTTTAGAGATGTTCAAGTAAAAACATCATGGAACATATTTGAATACCGTTTGCAGGCATGCGAACTTTCTTCTTCTTCTTTTTCTTCACTGTATCAAAAAATAAGATAATCATAAGTTTCAATCCATATTATAAAAATATAAAAGAGGCCATCGACATGTCGTATGCTATAGAAACTTCCCTTCCAAATTGCTAAAGAGCACTACATGAAAGAACTTCTCTAAATTACAGTCGTACATAAAAGCCAACACGAGGAGAACACTCAAGACACTTCCTCTCAAAAATTACCTGCCTCACTAGCAGCCATCTTCTGCTGCACTTCTTCATCAACTAATAAAGCGCTCCCTTGTGAAGCTTGTTCCTTCACGCTCATTGACTCATGTGTAGCTTCAGATTCAACTGCTTTCGTGGCTTTCACTTTCTCTAAGGTCTGGGGTCCAGAGGAAATAGCCTTTCCCTCCTCTATCTCCTTTGTCTTCATAGTGTCTTCATTAATTGACAGAATGTTTTTTTCTCCCTTCGAAGCAGCAGATAGCGTTGGGGAAGGAACTTTTGGCTGTGCAATGCGAGCAGATTCCATATCTAAACATGAATAACCAATCAGAACAAGTAGAAATATGGCACAAAGATATCTCAGTCGTGAAAGACCAAAATTAATGCATACCTTGCACCTGAAAGGTACTACCAGCGTTATCAGCACTACTATTACCAGACTCCAGAATGCGATTGATTGTATCCCTGAGCGTCTTATTTGGCAATAGATCGTCTGCAAGAATGTTGGTTGCTCCACAAATGCATGCTGACCTAGAGATAATATGGTCTCTAATACCTGTGATGAATTTTGTACACATTCAACAAAACTAACATTTAGTATATTTTCAGTAATTAACATGGTCAAGAACAACTGAATTCAGGAAACTAAACCAAATACATGAAATAAATGAAGTTCTAAATTCCAAGATGTTATTTAGTAGCAAGAACCACGTGGTAGTAATTATTACAAAATTGTGGTCTTACATTTATCACAGAAGCTCTTAAAGCAGCACTTGCTTGTTAAAACAGCATCTTTCATAACCTCCTTGCACAGAGGACAGTGAAGCTCAGGGGGCAAGTCACCAACTGAACGTGTGGAAGGTAATCCTTCAATCTCCTTCTCAAAAGCGGCCCTGTTTCAGTTCAAAGTAACGAATCAATGGTACAGTTGGAAAAATCATCAATTAAAACTGAAACATAAAAAAGAATATTTTACTCATTCGGCCTCAAGACAGCTACAGCACCACTTGGCAAAGCATATGAGCCATCAGGAGTTGCCATCAGCATAGACTTTGGAATCCCAGTGGGAGGCTTCACTCTTTTTATGTCATAATTTGGATCTCCATTTGTGGGGCAGTGTTGAATAAAGTGCCCTGGATGCAGAAGTTAATGCACATTAGGTCTCCAAAAAAACTAAAGGAAAATGAAAAAATAAAATAAGTAAGCCAACGAATGTCTTAAATGAGATGATTTAGGGGTACAATAAAAAAAAACATGAACGCACCAGGAACTTTACATCTATGACACACATATCCCTGTGGGGGTGTCTTCCTTTCAAACCCTGCACGACCTCAACAAATGATACAAAGATTAGAGTTGAATGCTGATTTTTTTTCATTTTGCAGTTTAAGCAGGTGGCAGCAATATAGCTTGCCATGAATCATTTAATAAAATATAAATTGGTCAGAGACAAGTCTATACCAAAACCACGTCCTCCCATTCTTCCACCACCACCCCTCCCAAAACCTCTACCAGGACCAAAGCCATCAGAACCTTGACTGCAATCCACAAATGCACCGTGGTAAGCAAAATCAACCATAAATTAATCACAACTAACTTTTGCAATAAGAATAGAATGTAACTCACTGTTGCCAATCTAAAGCCGGGGTATCAATTAAAGCCTTAATCTTGCTGTCCTCTTCAGCTTTATTTGTAGGAGCTGCATCTGGAATTGGATTACTTGGCTGAACTGGAAGCACTTCAGGGATAGCGTACAGATCATTACCAAACTCATCCCACTCGGAATCTTCAGGCTGTCCCATCAAAAAATATGTAACTAACAAGCAATAACATCATATAAAGCAGAACCAAAACAAATTCATAGTATGAAAACTAGCTCACAAATCTCAGGGCTGATGGATCTGCAACTGGGACAGTTGACTTTTCTTGTTCTGTCTCTTCAATTTCAGCTTCCACTTTTGGCCTGCAAAACCAAAAACATCCTAACTAAGTCTTCAAATCATCAAAAGTTATCTTCATTAGAAACCGACTTCACATTTGCATTTCATTGTCCAGCAGTTTTCTGTTGGTTAGGCTTATGTTTACAGGCACTGACTGAATGCTGCTAACTCATGTAACACAGTGAACACTCTACATCTTTCTTTTACACAAAAGGAAAGGACGTTTAAGAAAGATGGTATGATCTGAACTAGAAGAAACCAAACACAAATTAACATCAACTTATAAAAAACCATTTAATTAAAGGTTTAAGATCGTACTCTTGTTTTGTAACAATGGGTAAACGAGGTCTTCCAGGAACACGTCGAATTAAAACTGAGGTGTTCTTTGGGATCAACATTGCTTCATCAAGATATTCTGAAAATTTCAAAGGAGATAACAGAATCTATAAAACTCTAATAAGATATCAATCCAAAAACCAGACCTACAATATGTGATTCTCCAAAGACGATCACAATAACCCCATTATTGATCTTCCATATTAATATGAGCATAATCTCGTAAGCTATCCAACATTGTTCTACTGACAATTACATTAAACCAAATCCCATTCAAATTCAACAGCTCCTTAGTTTTAGAAAAGTCAAATTGACTTAAGTATTTATCCAAGTTAATGCCCTCAATCCTGGAATTTTATACTATAGAAATGAAGATAAATCTCCCCCAAAAATTAGTGGAGGTAATCAGTGATCGCAAGTAGCACACTTCTAGCAGCCCGCAACCCATAATCGTTTCAAATGTTTCTACGAAAATTAGCTAAATTCAATTAGAGCCAAAACCCACCTTCATTAGTCTGGGCGTTGGTGACCACAAGGTCAAAATCAGTGCCCCTTCCCAAGTGCTTCGATTCAAATATTTTTTCTTTCAAAGTACCAACTGAGATGAAAGGACCGTCCATAGGAATTGAATCATAATCTCTTGCACTCTTAAATTTATAATACACCGCCATAGTAATTTTTTTTCAGAAAATAATATATAAAAGCCAAGTGAACAAGCAAGGAATAGAAAGGAAAAAGAAAAAAAAAGTTCGAAGGCCTTTAGAAAAAAGGGCCTTATATTTAACTCGAACAAATGAAACAATACAAAATATCAAACACTTTTCCCTTCAACAAAACCGGGATGGAACAAATCGAACTGCCGAAAAGAGAGCTTCTACGAACTTCGTTCGCTGAAATTCCCCTTATTCTCGTCCAACTAAGTACAATAAATCTTAATAGATTCGGTCGAGAGCCGGAGGACGATAAGAACCTCCTCTCAATTCCAATGCAGTTCCGTAGATCGCAGGAGCAATAGTAGGATCCCCTTGATCGAAGAGCCCGTCGAGATACACAAATTACTCAAGGGAAATAAACAAACCCCTCAAAGCCCCCACCGATGCAAGCACCAAGTCTTCAGCCCGATCAGAAAAAACCCAACAGAGTCAGAAATCTTATCTTCAGAAGAACCGCGACGGCGAGAGATCAGATCCTCAAAGCAGCACCACCCATCAGGGACACACCCTATCTCCGGAAAGCAATCAAGATCCGAGAAACCCACTGGCGGGAGATGAAAAAATATCAAAGATCGGTCGGATTCTTCAACAGCGCGGCCATGAAAATCCCAGAACAGGCACGGAAATCCACGACGGATCCAGGGAGGAATTGGCGGTTGGAAGCGAGCAAGCGCGTCTGAGTTGCGTTAGGGTTGTGAGAAGAAAATTGGGAATTGGAGAAAGAGAAAAAAGAGGCATCGATTTAAGAGAGAGCTGAGAAAAATGGTGAAGGCTCTCCATTTATAGTCCACAAATGGATTGGGTTTTGCTTTTGCCGATAAAAGCCGCGGATTATTTCTTATTGTTATTTAATTTATGAGGTGGATCTTTAATTATTTTGCTATGCTGATCAAAATTAAGCTCAATTTTTATTTTGCTTCTATATGTTTTTTCAGAAGGGAATTACAAAAATAACATATTGTTTATATATATAGTATTACGTTTAAAATTTTACAAAAATAGTATAATTGGAACTTATACAATAGAGTGACCAAAAGTCTTGTGACATTTTTATTAAAAAATAAAAATTAATTATATTTTTATAAATATATATTTATTTTATGTCGTTGAATATAATTTCTCTATATTTGTTTTATTTTCTGGGGTCTATTACAAATTTAGTGCTGAGAATTTAGATATCTAGATTCTGTTTTTCAAATTTAATAAATCAACAAGATATTTATTTGGCTTATTTAAAAAATATATATTGGTTGCATTTTGTGATCTCAAGAGTGGAACTTTAGAAAAGATATTTGATTTCAGATTTTGAATTTAAAATTTTGAAATGTATCATTATATTTAAAGTAACTTTAACACATTGATAAATAAGTTATTTCACGTCATAAACGTATTTTTTTAATTAAAACATAATATATTTTAAGATAATAATTATATAAAATCTATAACATATTTGTTAATAAATTAATGGCTAATATTTTAGATCAAACTAAATATCTAGGGTGTGTTTGAAAGTAATTTTGGCAGGGTCAAAATCATTTCACAAATTAATAAACTGATTTTAGGAAAGCTTAAAATCATTCTAAATTGAATTTTAACGTATATATGATTTTGGAAAATTAACTATATTTAAATCTATTTTTTCAAAATCAATTATTCTACTATCACCCCCGAAACACACTCATAGTTGGTAGACTCCCATGCAAATAAACATAGCAGCTAACTATGGCTCTTGGCCCACACAACGTCCTAGGTGTGGAGGGATCGAAGCAAGCAACATATAACGTTGAATAGTTTACAAGTATATTACTAAATAAATAATGACCACTTTTTTAAAATTGAGAATCAATAGAAAACATCGAATACAACCCCGTGTTTTTATTATACCTATTAGGAGTGTTCACGTGTTGAGTTCGATCGAGTTGGATGGATTTTTTTTAGACCAACCTGACCAAAGACCCAAAAAAACAAGTTTGCAACCCAACCCAACCATCCTTATATTTTTGGGTTGGATCAGATTCGGTTGTCAGGTTGCAAAGAAATTATGCGCAGAGGGCCGGAATACGAGAGTCGAGAGATGAGAAACGATGGTAGACGAGAGGGAAGGGAGGTGAGATACGAGGGGGACGGATATGGGGAGGAGAAATAAGGGAATGATTAATAGAAGCAAAACACCGTTACCAAAAAGTGACCGCATTCCAAAAGCTCAATTTCACTGCCAAGTATATAAGGGGATCATGAATTGAAGCAT